ATTTCAATCATAATCTTCTACATTCTACATGGAAAGTAACAATGTTCTTTCTAAATCTAGAGATTTGTAAAGTTTGGATATGCATCACTTATATTTGTTGGAGTTATATTGTATACTTAAATGAAATTTGATTGGCATCATCTTGAGGTGTTTTATATAAATTTGTTTATAAAATGAGAAAACTCTTTTCAACCACAAGGCAAGGAGGCTGAGTAGGTGATTAAATATGTCCAGAACGGTGGTTCTCCAAAAGTGGTCCTTGTACGGTCAGAATCAACATCCCTGGAGCTCGTTAAGGATGTGAATTCTCAGGCCACCACCACAGGCCTAATGAACCAGAAATTCTGGGTATAGAATGCAACAGTCTGCTTGTTAATGAGCCTGCCAGGGGGTTTTAATACACGCCCAGGTTGTAGAACCACTGGTCTGAGCATTTATTTTCCTCCGTCTATGAGAAGAACTAAGGGGATAAAAAGCACTATTCATCTGATGTGCTCAGTTGCTGTGTAGATCTTCAAAGCTAAAGAAACAGCTGTGCTCTCCTGCTCTCTGACCCCACCTAATGCTCATCATCACAGCATCCAAGGAGCTCCATGGTGAAAATGGAAAATGCCTTGAGTTTATTCCATACATTTTCCATTAACAATTTTAAATCTATTTCTGTTTTCTACTCAAGGCAGAATTAAAACTGTGAAACGATATAAGAGAATAAATACCAGGAAAAAGGAACCACATCTCATGGAGTGGATGGGGTGGGCACTCACCTTGAATCGTCCTCTTGAAGAAAGCCTTGCAGGCCTCACAAGATGCAACCCCATAGTGGTACCCAGAGGCGATGTCACCACACACTAAACACAGTCTCTTGGGCATCGAGTTGAGCATGTATTCACACTTGGTCTGGGGATCCTCGACGATCGTACTGGAGCAGTCGTCATACAGCTTCCGGACAGGCCCACTGCCTCCCAGGATAGGAGCAGAAGGGTAGAGAGGTGGTGAGTCCAGTCCGTTCTGGTGACCATTCATGGTTGAACTGTAACTCCCACTGGCGTCAGAAGAGCCACCAGGACTGTGGTGGTTGACGCTGTCCGTCAGGGAGGCTGGGCTGGAGGGTTCCGTCTTGATGAAGGACGAACAGCTGGAATCAATGTGTCGATCTTTGTTTGACATTCTGCAGAGAAGCCTGAGAGAGAGAGAGAGAGAGAGAGAGAGAGAGAGAGAGAGAGAGAG